CTTTGTGGCGGGTCGAGTTAGCGCTCTGGGATACAGCCGGTCAAGAAGACTATGACAGACTACGTCCGCTCTCTTATCCAGACACTGATGTCATTCTCATGCGCTTCTCCATTGACAGCCCTGACAGTCTTGGTAAGTGACAACAGATGTTCTGACATGTGTGCCAGTGTTTAAGACACATTACATGTTGTAGAAATAGGCCAGAGCAGATAGAGATTTTAAGATGGCTCTAATAACTTCGTGTAGACAGTCAGCCGTGCACCAGAAAGCTGAACAGGCATAACTGCTGAATGATGGTGAAGCATGTTAGCGTTGTCCTACTCTGGTGATTATATGCCACCACGTTTCTCTGTTTGCTCACCCCTGTACATTTATGTTTACTGTACACAGTTACCAATGCATTTATCCAAGGATTTAGTTAATGAGGAATTTGTGCAACATGCTTCATCAGAGCATATTATTTTGCCTACACATGCTCTACGGAGCAGTACCTTGTTGGACAGAAAATTAACCAACAGCTATTTTGGTAATTGCTTTGTTGTTTTTTTCTAGCAAAAATGTTAGTTTGGATGGTTCCATGCTTTCAAATGTGAGAATTTTCAGTTTTTTGAGGTCTTACCTCTAGATTTTGTACTGTTGGTAGATAAAACTAATTTCATAACATCACCTTGAGCTGAAGGAAAAGATGTGATTGTTTACAGAAGATGTTGGTTGGGAAAAGAGGCTACATACTAATTGTTAATGAAAGAAGTTGTTATTCTGATCTTGTCTTTCCCCTCATTCAGAGAACATCCCTGAGAAGTGGACCCCCGAGGTGAAACACTTCTGCCCTAATGTTCCCATTATACTGGTGGGAAATAAAAAGGACCTGCGCAATGATGAGCACACCCGAAGGGAGCTTGCCAAAATGAAGCAGGTAAAAATTTAAAACACAAACACATTTATACTCTTACTAATGAATGCACATCATCTAACACTTCTCTTGACCTTTTCTTAAGGAACCTGTGAAACCAGAGGATGGCCGGGACATGGCTAACAGGATCAGTGCCTTTGGATACATGGAGTGCTCTGCAAAAACAAAGGATGGTGTGAGGGAAGTTTTTGAAATGGCCACCAGGGCGGCACTACAGGCCAGGCGGGGAAAGAAGAGCAATAAATGTGTCCTACTGTAAACGGGGGCATGAGGACTGCTTCCTACAGGGGGTGGGGGGTTTAAACCTACCCCCCAAACACACCCACGAAAAGACTGTTCTCTCCAGTGCAAACTCAAAAGCACTTAGCAGATGCAGTATGATGGGCACTGTGGACTAACACAAGCCGCTCTTTGGTTATCTCAACTATAGCCTGACAGATACAGGATGTTTGAGGCTGATATCTCTTTTTGAAAGTAATCTACACTGTTAAATAGACCAAACATTTTTGATGAGGATCCCTTATATTGGTTAATAAAAAAATCATTCAGTCTTAGGAAAATTAACAGTTTTGATCATTGATTTTTCACACAAAAATTCCATTATTAATTCTAGATTACTTCCTTCGTCAGTATCACTGCTAATACCGTCACATCGCAAAGAATCGGTATCAGCAGTGATTTCCTTTTGTACTTTAATATGAGAAATTTATGCCCAGTGTAAAATATGTTAATCCATTTGAACACTGATGGTGGAATAAACCTTTAACAGGAAAACATTTATTATCAAAGAATGTCTGTTTAACCCAAGAGAGAAAGTCCTGTCCAGTCTGACCCTTTCTGTGCAACAGCCAGCTGCAGTGTCCTGCCATCAGAAACTGTCGTGATAGTCATCAGTTTACTAGTCACTCCTTTTTCTTGGCTAGAAGTCCCGGACGGGTGAGAAACCATGGAAGCAGAGCCAGTGCTCCCAGACCCGCTGCCACTAACGGTCGATAAAATAGCCAACCTATTCCAATGGTGAGAAGAGACAGAGAGCAGGAGACGCACAAAGCGAAGATCTTCAGCCCCACTGACACCAGCTGTCGCAGAATAGGAACCCAATCCACTGCAGGCACAAAATAAACAGGCAATATGATTGATGTGCCGGGATGAATAAGTCCATGCATTGTGTGGCAGCAAGTGTTTACCCAGTGTGTAGATGATCCGCGTCATCAGCTGTATACTAAGGAACATGAGGGCCCAGCCTGCAGCCCTGAGTCCCCATGTCTTCATGTTGTTGTGTTGGTGTTCCCTCGCAAAAACCTCCTACATATACAAAACAACTGTCTTAATTAGTGGAACAAAGACCATGTAGAAAATACCCTTTAACCAGACACACAAGGATATAGATATTACAAACTACTTTTTTTCCATTAAACAAATTAAATTACCAAAAAGAGCAGTGTGCAATAAAATGAACAAAATCTACACTGACCTCTGCAGAGAGCTCCTCCAGGTACAGGATCTCCAGTGTGTCTCCTGATTTGGTTTTAAAAGGCATCAGCTGCTCCCCCCTCTGCATGGCCACAATACTGACCTGAAAAACAGTTCAACACTTCTCAATTCCACCAGCAACGGAAAAGGAAGGAACTAAAAGTTTCAATTAGGACTGAAATAATGACTAGGGATATAATGATACCCAAAACTCATGGTACATTTTCAAAAAAGTAAATAAAAAAAATAAATAAATCTACAATACGATATTTATCATGATAACAAAAAAAAAAGAACTAATGCAAAATGTATCCAGGACCATCTCTGTCCTAAACGGGGCTAGTACTACCTTCGTTCGACAGTATTGTCGTGCCATTTTATAGGCAATCATGAAAAAAACTGGCAGAATAAAACTGAAAATGATCATTAGTTGCAGCTATAGTTTCAATATTTCAAAAGTAGTTTTATTATTAAAGCCAGCGCTTTAAAATTTAGTCAATAATGTCAGAAAATGACCTTGACAAAAAAGCTAAAACAGTATCTGCGAAAAAAACAAAACAATTGAAATGACTGCTAATCAAACAGCCTGAGCAGACTCTTCTCAGCCCTAGTTCATTTATTGTGGACTGATTTTGATGCCTCATATGAAGGATCAAATTATTTTAATCTATAGTTCTAAATACCATATGGGTAAGGACACAGTGAAAATGTGTGCAGAAAATGCCTGAAGTCAGTGATATGAAAAGGTCCAATTTTATGCAGCAGGAACCTTTGAGTAAGCAATTTAAAACTATAACCTTGGATGCTGTCTGATATTCACATGTGCCTGTTAGTTCATGTACATCAGAAGCATCTTGTCCTTACTCTGCAGAGAGTTTTCAGGACCAGGAAACGAACTACTCAGGGATACGGTGCAATGAGTACATGCAGGTGGAATTCAGCCGCAGCATCTGTGGTACACATTTCTCCAAGAAAATGATGGAAGTCAGCACAGAAAACTGGTGTGACCTGGAAAACATCATCAAGTAAGATGTACTGCAACATCCAGAAGTGAAGGCATATTTTATA